GGATGATGGAAAGTGACAAATTCTGAATGAGATTTTACCAAGTATTGGAACATGAAGCACACAGAGCACAACAAGCCACAGAGAAAGTTCAGAAAGACCCAGGGGAAGAGGTAGTGGACCACAGACAGGGAAGAAATGGCAGAAAAGTCGTCCTAGAATAAGGAAGATCTCCAGATGGGGCACAGTTACCTAGGCGAGCAACTGTGTCTACCAGGAAGGAGGAAAAGTACACAGCACAGAAAAAGACAGAGAAAAGCCTTGGGGAAAAGTGGAACCAAAGAGAAAAGGAGACAAAAATCAATACTAAAATTAGAGCAATAGAAAATAAGAGGGGGAAGCCAGGCATGGTGGTACAAGCCCGTAATCCCAGCACGCTGGAAGCCTGAAGAAGAATCATGTGTTCGAGCCCAGCCTGGGCAAGTTAGTGTGTCCACATCTGAAAACAAAACAAAAAATTTACAAAAAAGGGCTAGGGATGCAGCTCACTACCAGCAGCTGGGTTCAACTCCCAGTACTCAAATAAACAGATAAATTGGGGGAAGGAGTGAGCTGCCTCATGAAGAAAAAGGTCAGAGTCAGACAGTCTAAGGCTTATTTAGGGACACTTGAGAGTCACTGGAATAAAGAGACAGAGCTGGCATCAGAGAACACATGCCCGATTCAGAAGGGGCCAAGATATGCACAGTGAAGTAGTGGAATGCCCTAGAACAGAAATATTTAATATTAAAAAGAAAAGTATTCACGGTGAGATAGGTCGGCAGGTGCCCAGCATAAAGAACAAAAGACAAACCGACTGAAGAGGCACAGAAGAGAAAAAGAAAGGACATAACGAAACCACTGACTCATACCAACAGCTTGACAAGAACACCAAAAAACTCGGCCAGAGAGGGAAAGTGAGGGGCAGTGCCGTGAAAGGAGAGGCAGACTGCTGACTGGGAATCACAGGTCCAGAGGGGTCTGCGAGGAAAGGGACCCTGGGCAACAAAGGGACTGGGGCAGGGAGGGAAAGACTACAGAACACACAAAAGAGAGATAAGGAGCAGGGAAGGAAGAGCAAGTGCTCTGATCAGGCTAAGGACTCACAGCTGGAGGAGGGCTTGGGCAATGTCAGCTAGAAGGATCTATTGGGTCTGTCGGGGTGGGCCTGCCCTTAGTCTTTAGGCAGTGGAACAAGAATGAATGCTTCTTATAGAGGAACAAATCTCAGACCACAGGTATCCCATAAGCCACATCCTGAAGGCCCACGGGGCTCCTCCTCTCTCCTGAGGTTAGTGGGTCTCAGCCCCTGGGACATTATCAGGAAAGGACAAAAAGAGCCAGAAAAGCAGGGACTGCTTCCCTTTCTCCAGGGCCAGTACAGGCTTAGAAGGTCTATGAAAAAGAGCATCTCAGACCAACACAACATGGTGTCTATCATCAGAAGAACAGGAATAACAATTACAAACCCTTTCTTCCTCTAATTTTTGTTTTCTTCTTTCTTCTGCAGATATTCTTCGCCGCTCATCTTTCTCTTTTTGTTCCCTTAGCTTTCGTTGCTTTTCTTCCAAATGTTTTTCATACTGGAGCTTGGCCTTTCTTTCTTTTTCAAGCATTTGTAGTTCTTTATTGGCTGAAATATTCCAAATACATTTTCAAAGTGTAAGAGCCAGGAAAATACTTAAGTTTTCCACTTCACACACATAGAAGGGAAAAATTAATATATCTCATTCTGTTTCTTAAAATAACATAACCTGTAATAGTAACTAAAGATTTATTATATAAATGAACTATATGTCATGGGGTGTTCATTTCACTCTGGAGAACTTGGGGTCTCTTAGGCCTCTCATCCTGTCCAAACTAAAATTCCAAATTAAAAAGAAATATTTTTGTTCATGGGATATTTTTGCCAGCTTGAGGTGAAGTCAAACTCCTCCAGATTAATATGCTATATTTAAAAACAAAAACTGAAAAAATACATGGCCAGAATGTATGCTCTGCTCTTCTCTACTAGTAAGCTTCTTTCCCAGTCTGCCTGCAGGGTTTACATTTATGGATTTAGCCATACACCGTATTATAAATGAGCATGATTTCCTAGATTCAAAATTTTCTTCACTAAATCCCAGACAGTATCTATGCAACTATAAAATATTCTCCCTAAGACAGTACTCTCTCTTTCCACACCCTTCCCACAAAAACAAAGATGAATTTGAGTAGAGTTGACCACTAGTTTTGTCAGTGGCTTCAGAAGATCAAAGGGGAAAGGTACATAGTTGAAAAGTATGCTTTCTAGTTGTAGAAAGATTATTCATTTTTTGTTTCCTTGAGACAGGGTCTTGCTATGTAATTCAGGCCAGCCTTGAACTCACTATGTAGCTCAGGCTGGCCTCAAGCTCATGGTGATCCTCCTGCCTCAGCCTCACAAGTGCTGGGATTACAGGTATGTGCCACCATGCCCGGCTGAAAGAGCATTCTTTTAGGTCCTAATTTTTAAAAAATCACACTTTAGAATCACAGCAATCAGTAAAAAGATACCTTTTCTTATTTTCATTTTAAGAATTAGCTTTTACTGAAATCTTATTTGATTTGTTTTTACAAATGTTAAAAAATTTGTACCTTAGTTTTCAGAAAATTAGAGGTAACAAACTACCTCTTCAAAAACAAATTAGTCACAGATTTTTCATGAGTTTTAAAAAATCTGATTTATTACGTAGATTTAATCCAATCCAATAAATTTACATAATAGAAGTTATAATCTAATAGAAGTTATAATCTATCATATAAACATAAGAAAAAAAAGTAAAACCAATATATAACCTGTACACAAACTTCACTAAGAAAATTGAAAACATACCTTCTTCTTGTCTTTTTCTTTCTTCTCTGCGCTCCTTTGCTAACTTTTGTTTCATATCATTTTTAAGCACAGACCCATCTATAACTTTAAAAAACAATACAGTTGGATATTAATATGATATCAAATTTTAAAGACATGACATTCTGACATCTATCAAAGTATTACAGAAATTATACCAGGTTTCACTGTTGATCTTATATTCGGCGAATGCGTGGCCAAAGAACTAACTCCACTCTGACTTCGCCTTTCTTCAGCAATTGCTTGAGCCTCAGCAACTACAATACAGGGAGATAAAGGAAAGGGATTAGATATTAAAGATACAAACACCTACTATGGGAGCTGGCAAACCTCAGTCAACTATGTCTTTGATAATAAAAGGTCAGATCACTTCCATAAAGTAAAATCATAAGTGCTTAATGTGGGTCCACAACAAAGATGCTCTAAATATGCGTGATATTAGACAATACTTTAAGGAAGAACGTAAAGTAATTGCTGAGGATGTGGCAAGATATTTGCGGATATAAAGACAATCAGAGTTGCTTGTGGCAGTGCAGCACAAGCTTTTGGATAAGTAGGAAGCCAATGATTAACAGCTTCCCCAAATATCTCAATCAAGACATTACACCAAGTGTTAAAAAAACTGAGTTGGCAGAAAACTGGAAAAAATAAGTTTAATCATACTTGGGGATCTAGAAAATAAGTTAAGAATTTATGGATCTCACTCTGAAAGTTGAGTTTTAATTGTAAATCCTCAGAGACTGAGCTCAAAATTAAGGAATGTATAAACTGGACTGGGGCTTTCTACCCTGGTTGTACACTAGAGTCATCTAAGTCACTTGAAAAACATTAGCAATGCCTGATCTTGTCCCCTGCGGGGTCCAGGCATTTGTAGTTGTATATATACACTGACCCAGGGCCTCCAGTATACTGGGCATGAGCTCTATTACTGAGCTGCATTCCTAGCCCCCTAAAGCTCTGTTCTGATGAATACTGAAGGTCTAGGGTGACCCCGTGTCTACAAGAAGGACTCTCCAAGTACATGATACCATTCTCTGTAGACAACATGTCAAGGAAACAAATATAAATAATATAAATTGATAAGGGAAACAAAGGAGGGGGGAAAGGAAAAGAAGAGAAAATAGAAGGAAAGATGGAAACAAAGCTTTTGAAGAAAGAGGAGTCAAAGGGGGGGATGGAAAAAAAGAAGATATATATCATGTATAGGTACAAATACCCTGATGAATGTTATCATTATATATATCTAAAATGTACCAATAAATGTTTTGTTTCAGAAAAACAACAAAAATGTTTTAATTGCTAACACATGTTTTGCACACTCAGCAGGAAAGTAATTAATAAGACATCAGTAAGATGGATGTGTAAGATTAGGAGAACATAATTTGAGACCGAGAAAAACCACAGGACATGCATGGGTATTTTCATGTATGTCTATATGTAAAGATGCCCCTAGGCATCTCAGGTATAGAAAATTAGAAAACTCTTGTTTTATTCTGGTGTAAAAGTACAGGAGATACACCCCTAGGAAAGCTCTCTGGGAGCTATTTTACTGTGTAATCTTGAAAATGACATCACAATTGCTGATCATCATTTCAATAAAGGATTTTTATATTTTTTTATAATCTACAACCTAGCTAAATTTGAAGATGATACTCTTCTCAGCTTCCTTAATAATTCAACTACCAGCAATTGTGTGGACCACAATTATCCTCTGGATTTGAGATTAGCGTATTAACAAAAATTCTTAAATACAGTCTATTAAACCCTCCCACATACTTTCAACTTACAACATTCATGTGAGCACAGAAAAACAATAAAGTGCCTTGTAGTACTGTTTTTACACATTTAGTTCTCCTGCTTATGGCTGGAAGTCTGTATATGACACAATTTAGTTGTTTGTAAGGACAATTTCAAAATGCACAATTTTACCAAATTATTTAGATTTTATTAAACACAGATAACCTTAGAAGTAGTTGTGGTGGGACTAATTAACCAAATCATATAAACACTAATATGGGAATATCAAATCTCCTTTTTAGATAGTTGCATCCAAATTCCTACTAGCAAAAACTACATTCACAAAATGGACAGGCTTTAAAAATTACTTAAAATGTACAGGCAATGGGAGAAAGCCTATATGTCTGGACTTAACTGAGTGAACATTTCATTGAACTTCATTGAAGGAAAGATTTACTCAATATTCAGTTAGAGGTATGAATCAATGTAGACATATATAAAATTAACAGCTTTAATAGTAATGTGCAGTTCTGTAGTTCTTATCCTAACTCTAAACCCAAATTAAGGTTAAAGTTACCTTTGGCCTGGAGATAAAGAAAATGTGTAGAAGTTATTACTAAAGTTGAATTATGAGTCTTAATACTTATGGTACTTTTCTAAAAACAGCCCTACCAAGTAATATATATCACTTCGCCACTTACAAAGTTTATTTGTAGTACTTCATTTAATTTTTCTTTTTTTTGGTTCCCAGGGATTGAACTCAGGACCTTGCGCTTGCGAGGCAGGTGGTGGAACCACTGAGCTAAATCCCTGGCCCATTTCAATTCTTGTAACAATTCTATAAAGTAGGCATATTTTCCCCAGAGGGCTAATACTTCCAGAAGACCCCTATATCCAACCAAAATAGCATGCCTTGAAGACACAAAAAAAAAAAAATGGGGACAATTTTCTACATTTAGAGCTGTCTACAGCACAATGGCTCTTTGGAAAAATATGGAGTACACATTTAAGTTGTAGAAGCTGCTCAAGATTTTCTTTTTTAAAAATTATTTTTATTGATACAATTCAAACATATACTCATCAACAGTCACATTCATCAAAGGGATTTTATACCTGTACATGGTGTATCTTGGTTCCTCTTAATCCCCTCCCCTCCCTTCAACCCCCCCTTATTTACAAAAGCTTTGTTTCCATTTTTCCTTCTTTTATGTTTTTTCTTTTCTTTCTTTTAGGATTGTCTAAGTTTAACATTTCTTCTGCTCTAAAATTCTACAATGATCTTGCTCTCAATCTCTAGTTTTTTCTATATATGCAGAAATCATTCTTTGAAAAACATTCTAAACTGAGAAATCGTGTGAATTTAGAAAAGAAGGGAAAGGTGACAAGTCAGCGGCAGCTTTTTATGCTCATCTTGTTGAAATGTTCAAATAAGTATTTTAAAACAATTCTGCATAAATATGAAACACGTCTTTTGTTAAAATAAGCATGTCCATTTGGTGTGTTAGGGCCTTAGCACAGTGCTAGACACAGGAAACAGCTCGGAGATGTATACATTTATGTAACATATACTGTATACATTAAGGGATACAAATAAATGGATACAGTAAGTGGACGTTGACTGTACTCTGCATGTATGTTAAGTTATTTGTCCAGGGCACCATTTTAACACAGGTAGCCAGACTCCCGGCAGATGAAATTGACCTTCTGGCAAAAGCATTTCACTGTTCCCTTGATCGCTTCAGGAAAATGCTGAGACCAAGACCGCAGTTCCAATCAAGCTGGTACTGTGAAAGTCTAAAGTCAGTTTGCAATTCCTAATAGGAAAGGGACAAGAAGGATGTAAACTAGGGTTTTAAATTAAGTCTTTTTTTGCGTGTTTTTTTTCTTTTAGTTTGCAATGCGGTCTATTCACACAACTGCCCCGTGATTTTAAACGACTTTCTAAGATTCAGTACACAAAATTTTAGAAGCTATCCAGGACACAGTTCTTTCAACATACTGGAGTACATAATGGTTAATCTCAATCAAGGAAATTAATTATCATACAACATCAGGTGTCAACAAGCAATGCAACAATTCATTGCAAGTGCGCTCTCTCTAGGTGAACTAGAGAGAAACAATATTCTTTTCCCCTGGGGATGGTGAAAGTGTATTTGCTTGTGACACATTCTTTGGAGACGTGATTCAAAGTGTTCTTCAGTAACATATGGCCTCCCAATCTCAGTCTAAATTAACTGTTTAATTGCAAATGAAAACATTCCCTATGGATTTTAATCAAAATCATTTTTTTTCATTAGCGGGAATTAGCCTGAAAGCAGGCTAAACGCAACCTCACACACGTAAGAAATACTATGTTGCTCAGGCAGTGGAGCAGTCTCCTGAACCAAGCAATGTGCTCCCAAATCTGATTAAATTAACGCTTTTTCTTGAGGGGGCGTATTTTTTTGGTGATGGGATCTGTTGAGAAGGAAACACTCCAAAGTGCTGATTTTCTCCTTCGGTTCAGCCTAGGGACTTTGCAAGATGTCCCACGGAAGGTGACATCTTGTTCAAGTCATGTGGTACGGTAGACAAATCAGGAGATGCAGAGTCAAGTTTTTTTCCCTCAACTTTCAAGGCCCCTTCCCCCAGCTCCTTCGTCCCTGGACCGTGAGCAAGAGGGTGTGAACGCCACGGACTCCGGAAAGCGCAAACTTTCCA